GTGGAAGTTGTAAGGCTATAGCTGGCATTTGAAGCCATAGGAGGGAGTATTTGGTCAGGAGGGAAGACACTAATAAGATCTGGGAACATAAATATATAAAGGTTAGGCTGAACATCCAAAGGAAAAGGAAAAAAGAATATCTGGAGAGAGAGAGCGAGAAAGAGAGCGAGAGAGAGAAAAACAAAACAAAACAAAACAAGTATGGTATTATAGTAGCTGAAGCCACAGGGTATTTTCACAAAGAATTGACTGAATAGGTAGTAAGAGGTAGAGTCTGCTGTGTCTAGTAGCATGAAGATTACTGGGAGCTGTTTGTGTTGGGGAACTGAGGTGAAATCTTGACTATGCTGGGTTAAGTGGCATATGGAAATTGAAAAAAGTCATAGCAGCATGTGTAGACATGAGAGAGGCACCATCTGGAAAGGGAAATAGGATTTAGGGAATATTTTAAGACAGTAGAGACTCTAAGATGTTTGAATGCTCACAGACTATATTTAGTGGAGAGGAAACAGGACAGTACATAGCAGAAAGGAATAACTGGTACAGTGAATTTGCTTAGAAGGCAGGATGGGATCCAGAGCTCACATGGAAGGAGCAGGGTAGGTTCGTCCCTATTACTTTGCTTTATTTATTTATTTGTGAATGAGGCGGAGTCCTGCTCTGCTCTGTCGCCCTGGCTGGAGTACAGTGGCACAATCTCGGCTCCCTGCAACCTCTGCCTCCTTGGGTTCAAGCAATTCTCTTGCCTCAGCTGCCCAAGTAGCTGGGATTACAGGCACACACCACCAAGCATGGCTAATTTTTTTTTTTTTGTATTTTTAGTAGAGATGGGGTTTTACCATGTTAGCCACGCTGGTCTCGAACTCCTGACCTGAGGTAATCCACCCGCCTCAGCCTCCCAAAGTTCTGGGATTACAGGCATCAGCCACCACACTCAGGTCCTGGTACTTTGCTTTAAATCTGTTGCATATGAACAATCACCTTAGGCTTTAATCTTGTGAAGCTTTTTATTCCTTTTTATATTTTCACAGAAATTTTTCATGACCATTACTAGTTGTAAGTTATAAATGGGGCTAGTTATGACATATTTAATAAAATGTTAGGTTTATCTGACATAAAATGTGGAAGAATCTATTTTTCCCCTTCTCAGCAGTGTCTGGAAGGGTAGACAATAAGCTTCACTCTTCACAATTGGCTTTGAAAAAAAACCCGTTTCAAATGAGATGCTTCCAGGTTTAAGATGAAACAAGCCAGAGAAGCAAGCTTTTGGTTTTTGAATACTAAATTGTTCATGTGTTTCCCATAATAGTCTTCAAAAGTGGTTTTTTACCTTTGTTGTTAAAATCTACTTCAACAAAATAGGACTGGAGAAGGAAACAAAGAGTCTAATTTAAATGCGACTACCTCTATAGTAGAAAGCCGAATCTCCACTGGCGTGGAGGCCAGAAACTGTGGTTCATGAGAGGAATGCTGATAGACTTAGGCCCTTATACAAACTTACTTCAACTATTTACATTAATGATGATGATGTAATAATGTTTGACATTTCATTATCACATTATGATAATCAGAAGCTATTTTGTCCTTTCAGCATTACTTTTTATATTCTTGAAAACATTTGTCCTGAATTTCCCTGTCCTAAGAAATAAAGACAGCTGTCTTCCAAGGAACTAGAGGTTACAATCCGGGTGAGGGGCATGCTCATGAGATTGGTGGTGGGCAAAAGTGCTGCTGTCACTGCTGCTGTCAGGCCACTTGTGTATTATTTGACATTATGAGTTTATATAGATTTTTCTAATAA